TTTTTTTTTTGAGGACCATCTGTTCTGCATATCAAATTCATAAGAGAAAAATCTTTTCAGTTTTAGAACTTTAAATCATTTTATCTCCCTCTTCCATTTCCTTAGTCTTCTTGTTGGTTCTAATTTTAAACATATATTTGATATTAAAAGTCAGAGAATATGTTCAAGTGAGGGGTTGTGTGGCCAGTCAGTGAGACTGTATACACTTAAAGGTTTAAGGATACACTTTTGAACTTTAGTGCTTGTTCTGTTTTGGCTTGCTGTAGCCATAGCAGAAGTACAAGTGTGGTGGGGGCAGTTTACAAAACCCCACACAGTGGTCTCCTGAGGCCCAGTGTCTCAGGCACAGGTGGGAGGCAGGGATGTGTGTGGCTGTATGTGAAGCCAACCAAGAAGCATTAACTACCTACATAATGTTCTACTGGGGCTAAAGGCTCAGACTGGGCAGCACAAATATGAATCCATCATCTCTTGCAAAAGGCTGGAATTCTGTCAGCACAGAGCCTGGCCTGGATTTTGTGACACATTTAACAAAAAGTGGCACAAGAGAAAACTCAAATGGAGAAATAGACCAGAGCTCCATTGGTGGTAGCTGCTGCTGCCTATAAAGGACAAGGGACAGAAAAAAAGAAAGGTTTAGGCTGTGCATAGGGGAATGGACAGCATCATGAAGACTGAAGTATCTTTTTATGCACCTGCAGCATTGGGGCATAAAAGAGTAGACTGCCAGATAGCTCATCCCAAGCCTAGGGAAGATGTGCTATGTTCCACACCAAGATTACCAACCCCACAAAATGGCAGAGTAATTGTGAGGTCACTCCTCATCGTGCTTTCAGCAAAGGAATGATTTTTTTTTTCCCAAAGAGATGATCAGGAGTGACTGAGACTGTCTGGTATTTAAATGGCATTGGGAACCTGGCATCTGTAGACACTAATGACTTCAGTCATTAACACAGTGAAGGTATTTTTGCTACGGTTTCTGGCATGCATTCAGAAACATTACCATACCATCAAAAATCTGCTCAGAGTGGACTCTCAGATGTCAGCAGCTGGAACCAACCAAAACCTCTTAGAGACTTGCTAAACAGCAGCAATTTCTTATGTTCCATTCACAAGCACTGTTCTCAGCTATGTGGATCTGGATACTGACAATTCCTTAGATCTTTCAGTCAATATCCAGCAGAAAAGAGGGTGTGACTGACATGGTCTTCTCTGCATGATTTTCCTTCTGGAGCTATCACATAGTGTCTTTTCTTGCATATCACTACATGCTTTTCAGGACAGAGAATGATCACTTATGTCTTCTGACAGAAAATGATATAAACTAACCGTGCAAGTGCACATCACTGTGACATGCACAGGACCACACTACCCTTTTTGCACCACAAAAAAATAATAAAAAATACAAAAAAAAAAAAAAAAGGCTGTGTCTAGCACAGGCAGGTGCCCTGGATGCCACAAACCAAAGAGTGCTATTGGCAGTGCACTGCTATAACACACTCCCAAAACTACAGTACAGGTAAAGGAAATAGAGTATCACTGGAGTATCATCTTCTGTCTAATCCCAACTGTTGGGTACTGATGGCATTTGGCAAAAAGGCTTCTTTATTTTATGTGAAGGATCAGGCTGGTCCAAGAATGGCAAACTCCAATATGAGGTGTAAAATTATCTTCCCCTTTGCTAGTTCTATACAGAGCACTGTTATGAGAGCATAAAAGTAGATGGTCAGTGAGCTGACACAATAGTCCTCCTGTAATCTCTGCTAAAGTTCTTTTTCCAAAATCATATAGTTTCAGATGAGCAATATTTTTGTACTAGTTCTTGGTAGAGCATACTGGAAAGGAAAACAATTTTGCCCTGTTTACTTACAAATATGCTTTGCTCAGTCTTTAGAGCAAAACAAAAACACAGCTCAACTGTTTTAACTGAAGGCCACATTTGAACAAAATTTAATTTCTCAACACCCATCAGATGTAATAACATCTTTTAAAACAGTAACACCACAGGGCTGGGATCCTTCAAACTCATTATCAGATGAAGGAAAACAGACACTCCAGTGGGAAAAGTAACGACACACCTAATCTTGGTTCCTGACTACACTTCCACGCATCTCAGGACTTCTGTTCTTGCAATACATTGCCCCCTTATGGACAATAGGTGACCAGAGACATCAACAAAACAGACTCTTGAAAAATCCCTATTATTTACAAACTTATTGGAAAAATAAGTGTTTCTCATCTCCAAAAGACCCAGATGGAAGAAGGATTACTGTAACAAGTAGGAAAAGGAGGCCAGGAGAGTTGTTGTGAGTCCACTGCTATTTCAGAGCAACTTGAACTGTTTGGATGCTGGAACAGAAACCTACACAAGAGCCTGGTGAGTCGCAGTGACAAAAGGCTGTTGGAAGACAGAAGTGGAGCCCAAAACTACCCTAACAAAAGAAAGCGGGTGAAAATTCTGAAGAACAAGAACAAATTCTCTGAACTTAGGTAAGCATATGTAGTTGCACATGCACAGGGTGGGAAAGATTTGTTTTGCAGCAGTATTTCAGCAATGGTTCTGTAGCCAAACAACATTGTTCTATTGGACAAAAGGCAAACATTTTGTGGAGGTAAATAAATGTAAGAAAGACTTAAGGAAAAAAACTCTTTTTGACTCTGTACTAGATGGACTCTATTTCTTATATTAGGCACAGATTCTTGTATTATGGCATTAAACCCCCCCCAGCCAAACAAAAAAAAGCCAGAGCCACAAAAAAAAAAAAAAAAAAAGCAGAGTGGTTGGAGAGCATCTAAAGAAGGAAAAGTCATTGTTCAGAGGTAGGGAAAATATAACTTCTGAGAAAGTTGAATAAAAATTGAATTTAGGCAAGGATTGAGCAGAGACACAACAATGTAAAATCTGCAGACTAGAAGGAAATGGATGTTTTTGCATGCCACTTGTGAGAAAGGTCAGTGCTTATCTCATAGCAAGGAACATTTACATTTGGCACAAGTTAAAATCTGGAGCCATAAGGAATACCAAGTACCAGATTGCTTGTCAGAGAGGTTACAGAATTTAAAATCCTATTGGGCAAGAAAATCTCCTGGAGCAAAGAGATGATGAATTCTGCACACCAGCCTTCAAGACTGTGGGCCTAAAAATAGCTCCAAAATGTTGCCACAGAGACCATATAAGATGCTGGTTAAGACTGCCTTAATATTTATAGAAGGAATTCCAAGGCAACTTCTTAATATTTACAGAAAGGACCCTAAGAAATGTTAGAGCAAAATAAATCACACATCAGAATGGACCTATTAAAGGACAATAAAAACAACAGAAAAAAATTAGAAGTGTGGCATGAGTTAGCTAGAATGTTATCAGAGACTCAGAGTCAGTTTTTAACATAAAGAACATCTGAACCACAGCTGAGAAGCACATTTTAAACTTCTGTCTCCTCTTCATGTACAGTGTCTTGTTTTCATGGCAGGGAAAGAGCACTAGAAGATCAGTAGACACTGCACCTTATGGAGCAGGTATCCTGTGGTAATTTTATAGGTCAGGTGAGAGACCCCCACTACATCAAGCAAGTAGTGAGACTCAGCTGGCCCTGGCTCCTCACTATGTGCATGGCCAGTGTTTCTCAAGGCTGGGCTAATGCTACCTGGGCTGAGAAAATGAGTAAATTGAAGTGTATAAAACAGAACACTTTCAGAACAGCTTGGATTCTGACACAGGGCAGAACTATAAGCAATAATCTTATTGAGGAAAGAAGTGAGCTTTCCTTATTGCCCCAGAACATTGGGGAAATCTTCAAGGCAGTGGCTGGCTTTGAGATGTGCTTAGGTCAGGTAGTGACACAGATCATTATGTGAGGAATAAAGCCAATGGTATCTTCTTGGAGATGAATGTGCTGAAAGCCACTCACTTTATAGTTTCAGCTCTCCTCCTTCTTCAGTGTAAGTCACAGCAACCAACTCCCAGGCTGCAAAAGATTAGCTTTCTCCTGAAGAAGCTCTTGGTTGCTAAGCAGTAACTGTGTGGGCACTAGACCTCCACAAAATTTTGAGGATCTGCCTCACCAGAATGTCATAATGAAGCTCAAACATCCTACTGAGATGTGATTACAAGCAAAGTTTCCATTATATGGTACTAATTTTACTGCAGAAGCTTAAAATAGGGTTTTTAGAAGGGGTTAGAGAGGAGACTTTTGTTGAGAGCTCAGGCAGATGGATTCAGCATGGCAATCAATGACATGAAATGTAGTTGGAAGATGGTAACTAACCCAGGGCTCAATACTGGGTCCAATATTGTTTGATGCCTTTATTAATGAATTAGAGGAAGAGGCAGAATATACCCTAGAATATACCTCAGAATATGCCCATTAGCAAAGTTGCTAACAACACAAAACTGTAAGGAGAGGCTGATATGCTAGAAGTTGGGCTGCCAAGCGGAGGGACCTTGAAAGGCTGGAGAAGGTGATAAGGTGGAAGGAACATCAAAACTTCTGCAAGGACAATTGCAAATTCCTGCCCCTGGGGAGGAATAAGAGCCAGTATACACTGGTGACGGCAGCAGCTATACGGAGAAGGACCTGGGGTGCTGGTGGTCCACCAGGACCGTGGACCTGCTCTTGGAGTGCCGCTTTTGTGCAGAGCTTTGTGTGGCTGGGGGGCTCTGTGTCCCACACGCAGCTGTCTGTGGCAGTGGGCAGTACTGAGGACTCCTGGCCAGTTCCACTGCATTTCCTGACCACCTTCTTCAGGTACCCAGTGCCAGCTCCAGTCGTGTGGGTTGTTGGGTGGGGGGGTGGGGGTGATCAGAGGAGTGCGGGTCTGGGACTCTGGGCAGCGTCTCTGAGGGGAGCTGAGGGGGCCAGGCAGGGGGGGAGGGCAGCCCTTGGGGCTGGCGGTCCCCGGGGGGCCAGGCAGGGAGGGAGGGCAGCCTTTGGGGCTGGCTGTCCCCAGCGCTGCTTCTGCTGCCACTTCTCAGCCCACTTTGGGAGGCCCTTTACCCCCTGTCCCACCGCTTTCCGGGTCTTTGTCTCCGTTTCCACTGCTAGCACCAGGAAAGCCCTGAACTTCTCTCCCTGCAGGAGATGGTGATGAGTCCTGAGGAGCGCCTGCAGCAGAGCAGCTCTGCCATGACGGCTGGCAGCAGCCAGCTGGAGCGGGCAGGGGGGCAGGAAGCAGCGGCAGACGTCCCGTGCGCCATCTGCATGAGTACCATCAGCGATGCAGCGTACGTGGACGGGTGCCTGCACAGCTTCTGCTTCGGCTGCATCCAGCAGTGGGCCGCCAGGAGAGCGGTGTGCCCCCTCTGCAGGAGGCCTTTCGACCGCCTCCTGCACACGGTGCGGGCGGACGACGACTACCAGGAGTACGTGGTGAGCTCGTCCGCCCGCCCGCCGAGGTCCGTGGCCAGGGCCCAGGTGTACAGGCACCTGCGCTCAAGGCTCGGCACCCGCAGGCCCGGGGTGAGAAGGGGTTTTGTGAGGAGGCTCCGACGGCAGCCGGGTGACGCAGCCCCTTGGCGCTCCGGCGCCCCCGCCCGGCAGGATGCAGGGGACCGCCCGGCAGGCCTGGCAGAGGCACCCGCCGGGCGCTACGACCTGGAGGCTCTGAGGGCGCGGCTGTTCACCTTCGCGGAAAGGCAGTGAAGATCAGAGCACCGATCTTTTGAGTGTTCGGGATTCAGGAGGGAATGGCACTGTTCTGTAAATCAGGATATATAATGAAAATTATAGACCCATCTTATTCGAGTTAATGGGTAACTTGCAATTATGTGACTCAGAAATGTTGCCCTGTCTTCTGCTGTTCTCCATAGAAGTTCCACACAGCCCTTTTTTTTTTTCTGATAATGAAATACCTTTCCTCTCAACTTCAGTTATGAAAACTCGTGTGCTGGCATAAAACTGCCCTAATACTCACTGGGGGCACCAGGGTCATTCCAGGAGTGAGATCAGAGAAAAAAGTGTTTTAAAAAATTTGCCAGTCCTTCTTGTGAAGCCATACTTGTATGATGTACTCCCATACATGCATACTTTGTATAAAGTAGGAGAAAGTGAGGGTGCTTCTCACACTCCTGCAGTCACTGGATTAGACACTTGCAAAACCAGAATTCAGTGTTGTCACTATAGGCTGCCGGAAAAATGAGAGGAAAACATGATACTTGCTATGGCTGCTAGCTTGCTTATTGTAGATGTTGTATGTACTGGTTATAGAAGTTATTCTTGGTGGGTGCAAGGACAATGCAAGCAGAGTATAAACATTTGATATGTAAGAAGTAATCAAATACTGGCTACTTCAGGAAAGGATTGAACAAGCTATTGGGTGACTTACCACAGTGGTGAGCCAACCAAAGAGGCTTTGCTAGTCAAGGAGGCATCATTCAGGGGGGATGATATATTGTGTACTCTGCTGTACCAGATCTGGCCTGGATTCATGGTACGAGCACACCTCAGGAAATACAGAGTGCTAGTTGAATACAGAAAGTGAAGAACTTCTATATGAAGCAGTTTTTAATTAAAAAAGAAAAAAAAAAGATTATTTGTCAAAAATGGACTGTGAAAATTTCAGTAATACTTGCAGAACAATAATTGTACTCTTCCAGAATTACATACATGTTGAAAATTGTTGTAAGGTGAGTGCACACTGCAGCTACCATTTTTTGCTGTGGTTAGGGGTTGCTGCTTCGTGGAGAACAGCTTTTTCATGTGCCAGCACATTCTCTACACTTTCTGCCACCTGATTTGAAACTTGCCGTTTGTCATTACTGTCTTTTTGTTCCTTTAACTATAGAAGCCATGGGCTGAGAGGAGTGATGTCTTAGTCCCTCTACGGGGCTAAGAAAGTGTAACTACCTCCAGCATCATGGTCCTTTTCAGCAGCTCCCTTGGTGGCAGTTCTGAGGAAGCTGGCCCTGCTGACAGCATCTGTCTTTCCTCTTATGGTTAACCTTGTGTCTGTTGGTTTATTCTCTTTTGTCTACAAAGCAGACTGGAAGCCTCAGCTGAAGCTAGTGGTGAATCGAGGACAGCTGTTCCACAGCTCTCAAGTGCGGGGGGTATCCAGGGAACCAGACTACGTCAAGCCATAGTGTGGGAACTGACACTCTGGATTCATTTCAGTGCCACGAGTCTGCGCATAAGCAGTCCACTGGTTTCATATACAGTCTGGTTAATTGCACATTGAAAAGATGAGTTAAACATGCAGTTACGCATCTGCTACAGATTGACAAAAATAAGACCCTGGTCCTAACATCCAGCATATATCTCTTGCTTGTTTGGTCCTTTGTGCAGTAAAATTTAGCATTCACACCTTTGTTGGGTGAAGATTCTGTAACATCTCCAAGCTTTTGCTTCCATATGCTAACATCCTGTTGTCTACACATGGGTGGTGCCAGTCATGGGTTTTCTACTTTGTTAGCATTCTCTTAAGTGTTACAGCCACAACACCTTTTTCCGAAACCATTACTTCATAATCTTTAATGGCCTTCATAACTACTGCACTGCAGATAGTAGAGCTGCCTTGCAGTTTCAAAGTGGTATATGACCAGAGCATGTGTGTTACCTTAAAACAGATACTTGCCTATAGAAGTCTTTTAAGCTTGGAAAGTTAAAGCCAATCTGTTTAACTCAAGATCAAAACTATACTAATTAAGGGAAGAGATTCACTAATGTGAAGACCCTAAATTATTTCTACACTTGTTTCAAAACCAACAGTATAAAAGTGATTACAAAGACAGAGCTTTGTATAACTACTTGGGATTTCTTGTACCTTGTTTTGCTGTTAGCAGAGATCTGGCTTTTTTAAAGAATAAGAATTAGAAGGCAAGCATTTGGTAGAAAAACGAAAAATGCTTCTTTACAGCAGGGTGCAAGTGCATGGTACTCAGTGCAGTAACTGAAGAAGAGAACTTTTTTTGAGGTTTGTTGTTTTTTTTTTTTTCTGGTAAAGTGAATGTGACCTACCTGCCTTTGTCCTGTTAACTTAAGCAGAAGAACATCAGGCATAATTAAGGTGCAAAGTCAGCCCTTCCAGCATGAATGTTTCTTGAAGCAGAAATACTCTTTGGGTGGACTCTAACTGTTATGGTCCTTCTGTGGGGATTTCCAGTATCCAGCAGCTGTGGAAGAATAACTAGAAGAAAAGATGGTGGCATTTTCCCATAGTGGATATGCAGGTATTCTGGGAATCCTGCACTTTGAGAAATTGTGTCATTTATTGCTCTTTAACTGCCACATGTGATCAGCCCAACCCATGCAGGCTTCCATGAACTTACTGAATGTGTGCAGAAATAACTGCAGTGCCATGCAGCAAATCTGAGTCTTGCTGCATCGCAATCACAGAACGTAGCATCAGTTTGTGCTGCAGAAGTGTAAATAGAAATATATGGCCCCAAACTAAAAAATGCAATTTTAAACTTGAGCTTTCATAGCTGGGTGACACAAAGAGCTTAAGTCCTGGTTTAACTTTCAAAGTATGCTTCTGTGCTCCAGGAAGTAATGCTTTTTCTGTTCCTGGGCAAGCTATTAATATGTGATTCTGTCTAGGTCTGCTGTGCCTGAACCACAGAAAACTTAACACATTCTCTTTGTTTTGAAAGGAAAGCCCTCACTTGGTATGTTAAATATTGATATAGATTACTTCTCAAGTCATTTAATAGTGATTTATACTGCTAGTGGCACATCTTGAATATAGTGTTTTTATTAATATGCATTTTAGAAAAAAAGCCTTAATGTAAAGATAATGATACTGGTAGCCAGTGTGGGACACCAACAACAGTGGATTCTGTTGGAGCAGGAGCAAACCTCCCACTCTTGTTACAACGTAGTCAGAGTTTATTTGTTACTTTTTTTGTCATCTTACAGCTATAATTTTTTAGCAATTTTCTTTTGTTGTCTTTCTCATTCTACAGTTACAATTTTTTCTGTAATTTTCTTTTGTTTTAAAAGATACCAAAAGCAGACAGACACATATCTAAAAGACAACTACAGAATTAGGTAAAATAATCTCTGTTAATTTTACTGCAAAATGTAGTTCTCTGTGGTGAATATGAAAATAAGAGTTGTGCCTTCTGAGCCAGGCTTATGAAGTGATGTGAGATGATAGATTTTTACAACTTTAGAAGGCTGGGTTATATGAAGTGATGCTCAGATATAGGTCTCCTTTTGCCAGCCCCAGCATTAAAAGCCACACTGGCTTCCAGGTACTGTGCTGTGGAGTGGTCTCTGGTCAGCAAATGCTACTTTCCACTATGGCAGAAAATTGGACAAACTCAAAGCCTTCGAGTTCAGTCTCTCTTCCACAGTGCATGGCTGAAAGTGGAAGAGATGCTATCACTTCCTTGATAGTTGTGTGACTATTTGAGCGTACTGAGTTTTCTGATAGCTACTAAGTCCATCAGCAAAATGACAGTAATGGGACTGTGATTTCACCACAGAATGCGATTTTTCAAATCCAATTTAAACCTCAACACTGCAGAGGTCCTATTTATTATGCTGAAATGAGGATTATTCAGAAAAATCATAATTTCACATTCTTAAATCCATCTTTGCATATCTATTGAAAATCCTGCAGTGCTAATAGAAATGATATTTCACATGGATATCACATACAATATCACACTACTGTGGCTTTAGCAACAATTTAGTGGTAATGTGCCTTACTGGGTCTATGTCTTAGTGATAACAGGCTTAGTGATAACATGTAATTAGGTTCCACAACAGTGTATGTGTGGGGTTTAATGTACCTATGTCTAAAATAAGGTGTCACTAGACCATTTTCAGTACAAACCATTATATTTCAGTGACATTTCCCTTTTTAAAAGGAGCTAGTGGAAAAGCAAAGTTGTGTCTGCATTCACGTGCACCACACAAGCTGTGGTCTGCAGACACATTGCCAATTTCCTCTGCCTGACATTGTGTGGAAACATTAAATCCTCTCTGGAGCAGAAAGACCTAAGTGAGGTTTGTGGATCAATACTACTGATACTAGCAATATTCCAGTTCAGCACTATTTTGACAGTAGAAATTAATGTTTCTCTTCTTACAGTCAGGCCTATGTTCTTGTCTCAGTGCGCAAGGGTTTATGAGCCTAACTGAAACCTACTGAAATGAAAAGAGATTGTTCCTTTTAATTCAATGTGTTTCTGCTCAGTCCAAATGTTTATTAACAATATTTACAGTGTTAGGCATCAGCTTTTGTACTTTTGTACTTTTGGGGGTGAAAATAAACATTACTGGCTAATTTTTTTACAGTTCTTTGTGTGAGTCTTATATTTCTGTGTAAATCTAAACATGGACTGATGACCAAACTCTGAACAAAATCTTAGTTACTATCAGCCAAGCTAACTAACATGCATTGCTGAAAAATAAGTCACACTGTTTCTGAGGTATTTCTTAATGCTAAATTCATGAAGCATAAGAAAAATACAGTGACTGGGAGTTTTTTGCCTTTCTTTGTAGTATATATGGCTACAAACTATGATGGCCAGAAAAAAAATGAATGAAACAAACTTCAAAATCTCAGTTCATATGAATGCAAAGTCATATGGATCACACTGTACCTTCAAGCCTCTGTAGACAGTTACCTTTAGGAAAGTGGATTTCTGACCTTAGTGCCACTTCATGCACACAAGGCATTTGAAAGATCATAG